TGGGGTCACAGGCCCCCAGCAGGGGCCTTCCTTTGCATACCTGTCAAAAAATAGGTCTTACCACCCAGGGATGGGCGCTCTGCATACAGCCGCTAAGCTCCTCATTCGTGAATCAAAAAACCTAAATTTTGGGTCACCCACCACTACCTTCTCCTCTCACAACCTGTCCCATCTCTTAATTTATAAGGACTTGCAAACTCTGCCTTCTTCCCAGGTTCTTCCTCTCCAGGCGGCACTAGTAGCAGAGGCCACACTTCCTTTCCAATCTTCCCACCCCTCCAATATCTCAGATCTTCTTCCCTGACCAAGCACGGATTACTCCCCATCTCATCCTTCCCCTGAAACCTTAGAGGAGCTCCTGCCCCATCCCTCACACACACACAGGAGGACACATCGCCTCAGGCCACCTATACCTGGTACACAGATGGTAGCTCCTTTTCACAGGCTATGCCGTAGTGTCAGATACTGAGGTGGCCGCACTGCCCACACCACTAATCAACAGGCTGAACCAGTGTAACTCTCACCCATGTCTTCCATGGCACAAGGACAACCACTAAACATTTACACAGACTCCAAATAGGCTTTTCATAGCCTTCCAAGGCCCAGACTCCCCTTCCCCACCTCAGGGCATCCTTGCACTAAAACCCACGCCCCCAGTGTCACCCCTGACACCTGACAAATTCTGCCCTATCTAAACCAGCTCTTTCACCTAATAGCCAAGCTTGTCACTTTGTCAATGCCCATTGCAGCCCACCCCTGAGGACTTACATTCTTACTTTTTTTTTTTTTTTGAGACAGTGTTTCTCTGTAGCTTTGGGGCCTGTCCTGGAACTCACTCTGTAGACCAGACAGGCCTCGAACTCACAGAGATCTGCCTGCCTCTAGGCCTTATATTTCTTAGGGACTATTACTGCCTCTTATAAAATCTGTCAAATGTCAGACTCCAACTCCAGATACCACAGCTCTCCTTTTCCTACCCACCAGGCTAGAGGCTCTTTCCCGGGAACTGACTTTATTCACATGCCCACAGCCAGTTGAGTTAGGTATCTCCTAGTCTTGGTGTACATGTTCTCAGGGTAGGTGGAGGCTTTTCCCAGTTGGGAATCCCCACCTCCCTCCAGTCAAACAAGTCCTGAATTTAGATCCTATAATTTCCCAAAGCCCTCAGCATTCCTGGGCATTTCCGTATTCCATAACATCCCCAGTCATCAGGAAAGATAGAACAAACTAACCACTCCAGTCAAGCGGGGGCAGTGGCTCACGCCTTTAATCCCAGCACTTGGGAAGTAGAGGCAGGAGGACCTCTGTGAGTTCGAGGCCAGCTGGTCTACAGAGTGAGTTCCAGGACAGGCCCCAAAGCTACAGAGAAACCCTGTCTCGAAAAACAAAAAACAAAACAAGACAAAAAAAAAACCCCACTCTTGTGAAACTATCACAGGAGCTTCACCTCAATTGGGTAAAGCTCCTGCCTCTGGCTCTTCTCAGGCTCCAGGCTCTCCCCAGTGGACTCTCCCCATGAGCTCATGTACAGACGGCCAGTTCTAATGGCCAGTCTCTCACCCAAACCCTCATCTCTTCCTGATCACATACCCTCTTAGGCTGTCATCTCTGCTCCCTCTATGGAACTTTACTGACCACTCCTTACTCTGACCATGTGCCGACTCCTGTCCATCAGGGATCAGGTCCTTCTCTCTCCTCCTGACCAACGTCTGTCCCTATAGCTGCTAAGCTTGAGGCCCTCCCTCACTGGATTCACCTATTTCACCTCAAGCCCTATACTCCTTCACAGGACAATTTTCCTTTGTATACATCAACCCCAACAGGCCCTCAGAGGACACCGAGATCAACCGCCTTGTCCCCACGTCATCAACAACAGCCAAGACGTGACACTGGAGCTGCCACAGCCACAAAGTAGAGGACTTCCTATGTGCACATGCGCTATATCCCCTTATAGACGGCAAACCCTTCGCGCACCCCCTTCCTTCTTCTCTTGCTCAGAGGCCGCCTCTGCACTCCTCCCCCCGTAAACCTCCCACATGAGTTCTGTTGCATGATGTGACTTTGTGGTACCTGTGTACCTATTAGGAATTTTTCCTAACGCGAGCTCTCTGCCGACACAAAAATCCCAATCAAGCCAAATCACAACTCTCAACCCAGTAAAGGTGGTGGGCAAGCAGGTATCCCTAAGAAAGAATGAGAGAAAAATTGTCCTGCAAGAATGCAGGGCAGTGGCAAGTTTTAAGTGGGGAGGAACGGGTCCCGTCTACCCCCATAGCTGAAATTGGTGAGGGAAACTTAAGTCCCAAGTGAGATGTTAGAACAGAATAGGTGTTCAAAATAAAAGTAATGGACTTACCCGCTACCTGGAGCTTTACCCTAGGCTCAGATAGGGTTACCAAGTCTGGGCAGCGTCAATCCTCTTCAAGGCTGAGAAGTTCGAAGGCTGGCACAGTTTCACTTGCCAATGTTGGTGAGGCTGGACCTCTGTGGCATGGCATAGAGGACAAGCCCACCCAGGGGCGTTGTGATTTCCAGTGTCCAGGTTGCTGGCAGATAGGGCATAACCTCGAAGGAGGCATGGTACAATATCATGCCACATGACCATGTAGGCCACACTTGAAACAGCTTGCCAGTGAGGCTGACTTAGGCTGGGCTCTATCAGGGTAGAGCCTTGTGGTTGGCTTCCCTTGTCCCGCATAAGGTGTGGGTCTGTAGCTTAGCTGCCTGCTGTAGCCATGTAAAGGCCATTTTTACCAATTTCCGTATAGGGGTTTGGGGACCCTCCTCAACCTTTAAGCAAAAGGATTAGTAGAAAAAGAACCCAGCCACTTTTCTATCTGAGAGAGATCTGGAAGAGATCAATCAAGCCAAATCACAACAAGCCAAATTAAGAAATATCCAGGTTGGGGCTGAAGAGATGGCTCAGTGGTTTAAGAGCATTGCCTGCTCTTCCAAAGGTCCTGAGTTCAATTCCCAGCAACCACATGGTGGCTCACAACCATCTGTAATGAGGTCTGGTGCCCTCTTCTGGCCTGCAGGCATACATGCAGACAGAATATTGTATACATAATAAATATATATAAAAAAGAAATATCCAGTTTTAATGGGATTCCTGTGCTCTCGGGTGGCCCCAGTGGGGAACCAGGAGGCCACGAACTTGACCCAGGGGGTGGGGTGGGGGAGAGGAAAGAGACCACATGTACCTCTTTTGGGAGCTCACTTAAATACCCTGTGGGAGTGGTCCTGACACCCCCACCCCATGCTAGGATTTGGAGTCCAGACCAATACAACTCAGGCCTGGGGGTTGGGTTGAATGCGAGGGGCTGGAATCTATGCTCTCAACTTAACAGTAACCCTGGGCTCTAACCCGTCAAGGTTGCCTTCCTCTGTTAAACTATGACACTTACGGTTTGGAGCATCTGCTTTACAAACTGAGCTGTCTCTTTGCCTCCAAAGTAATCTTTTTAAAGGTTGATATTTTGTTTGAGACAGGAGCTCATGTAACCCAGACTGGCCTTAAACTCGCTATATAGCTGAGGATGAATTTGAATTTCTGATCTTTCTGTCTCCACCTTCCACGTGCCAGGATTACAGGTACATGGCACCACACCTGACCCAGCAGTACATTTTAAAAGATCAAATGTCATGGCATTGTGTTAATAAAGGAATCAGGAATAAGCAGTCAAGACCTAGGAAAAACAAAAGTAAGTAACATAGAACACTGGCCCCAGAACTTGTGTTTGCTCCCAGGGCCTTACAAAGACTGTATTTATTTTAGAGAAAGCAGTCAAATAGTACGATTATCTGGAGTCTATGTCAGTGGTTTAGCAACTTCTTACCTCCCTTTTCTAGTCTGTCCCTTTCCCAAGGGTGGCCCAGCAGCCATTTCCTTGATGTTTGACCTCATTCCCCCAGGCTGGACCACAGTTGGCAGCCTGCCTCAAGCCCAAGGAGGCTGAATCTCTGCTTGGGTATAGGCAGCTCTTTGTTCTCCGAGGACATAAGCACCACCCACTTAAAGACCTAGACAGGCTGCCTGCAGAGGCCAAAACGAAACAGATTAGCCTAGGAGCGAGCAGAAGGCTGAGAATAGGGCTTCCTGGCCCTGCTCTTTTGGTTCACTTTTGTCCTGGAAAGAATTATTTTTTTCTAAACTTAAACAAGAAACTCTTTTAAAATTGGAATTGCCAAAACATGGTGCTGGCCATTGTGGCGCACATGTCTGCCCCCTGACACTTAGGTAGAGGCAGGAGGATCAGGAGTTCAGGATCAGCCTCAGCTACAGACAAAGTTTGAGGCTATCTCGGGCTAAGAAACCTTGTCTCAAAAACAACAAGAGAAAAAGCATGGTTGTGGTGCTAGGATTCCACAGACTGAAAATGTCACCAGTGATGTAGGCACCAGAACAAACGCTGGCTTGGGTGCAGAAAATTAGAGAGAAGTGGGAGGCACAGCCCGAGGCAGCTAATACTGAGCGGCAGTAAATACGTTAGCAGTCCATAAAAAGAAATGAGTGTCTATAAAAAGCGGAGCCAAGAACTCCAAAGAGCTCATCAGTCTGGGACCATTTAGTCAAGAGGCCAGTAGCGGCACACCCAAGTGTGCCTTAGGGTGTCATTTGGTTATAGAGCATAAGACCAGCAATCACCACAGTGGCATTCCGTCTCAAGGGCCTGTCCAATGAGACAATAGCCTTTGTTCAGAAGCTCTCACAACATAATATCTAAATGTCTAGGCATTTAAAGATATAAGGTTCACATAAAGCAAACCAGCCCACAAATCACAATTCCAGCGAACCTAGGCAAGAGGACTCTAAGAGAGAGATACATGGATCTAATCTACATGGGAAGTAGAAAAAAACAAGATCTCCTAAGTAAATTGGGAACATGGGGACCTTGGGAGAGGGTTGAAGGGGAGGGGAGGAGAGACAGGGAGGGGAGCAGAGAAAAATGTAGAGCTCAATAAATATCAATTAGAGCTCTTCCTGGCTAGTCTCTATGGTTGCGCCGGCGTGGGCCGCCTCGGCGCCTGGTGAGTACTGAGGCTCCCAACTTTGCGGCGGCTCTGAGTGCGGTGGAGCTGGGTGCGGCGTGATGTCCGAGAAGAAGCAGCCTGTCGACCTGGGTCTCCTGGAAGAGGACGACGAGTTCGAGGAGTTTCCCGCAGAAGACTGGGCTGGCTTAGATGAAGATGAAGATGCACATGTCTGGGAGGATAATTGGGACGATGACAATGTAGAAGATGACTTCTCCAATCAGTTACGCGCTGAGCTCGAGAAGCATGGGTACAAGATGGAAACGTCATAGCATCCAGGAAGCAAGAACCTCAGCATGGACTGTGGGCTAAATTCTAGGACAAGGAGCAAGGAAGGAATACTTTAAAGTTATTTCATTATCTGCTTGGATTTATTTTTGTTTTTATAACAAAATAAATGAATGTTTTGATCTAAAAAAAATAAATATCAATTAAAAAAAGCCAAATACAATAAAACCTCAAATAACAACAACAACAAAAAAATGATGTAAGGTTCCACTCACTTGGCACAAAGATGTTAAACATGTCACCACTGTGTGACACCACTACCGGTGTGCGATGTAGATGTGTATCTGTATACACACTCAGGACATCCAAGTAGAGGGTAAGTGATAGCAGGGAGGGATACTCTGTATTTTCCTTGTCTCTTCCCCCATGCACAAAACCATGGCTCTTCTGTGACCCTAGTCTTGGGGGCATGGCTCAGGAAGGATACCCTGAGCTACTTAACAAGATCCCCATCTCAAAAAGACCCCAAACAAGACAACTCAAAGTCTGTCTCTGGTTATAGATAACTGTGTGTCATTGCCCCTCAAGCACTAATATCCCCTTAGTTGCCGTGAAGTAAAAGAACATGACATAATCTACCAATACTCAGATATGTATGTGTGCATATGTTTGATTTGCATTTTCATAGTGATTGATGACATCATAGGACAGACACATGGAGTTTCCTTTCGTGTGCTTACTTGTCATGTGTACATTGTTGCAATGTCTGTTCAGATCCTTTGTTGTCTTTTTGTGATGTGAAAGTTCCCTGTATACTGTAGGCAGAAGTCTGTCATCAGATTTCTAATCTGCCTGTGTCCTCGCTGTCTGGTGAATGGGGAATTACAGACTGGAATGGAGAAGAAGAAGCTCCCAGAAGGAACATTCTAGGAACAAAGGCTTTAGACTCACCTTGAAAACTTTGTGGAATATTTGAATAATAAAAAAAAGGCAAAACAAGACCATCCGAGGTGTGCCTCTGTAGTAGTTCATCTCCTTATAAAAACCCACTTAAGATACAGACTGTGTTATTCTTTCTGGTTTCCGTCCGTCATTGTTATCTGAATAAACAGCCTCCAGCAGCCCTGAACTCAACACCCTGGGAACCCAGGCCTTTTGGCTCTGAGCAGCAGTTTCTGTTTGCAAAGCTCCATGGGAGTGGTACCCAGTATAGACGGAATTCTCTGTTCCACCAGCCCACTCTCAAATAACCATACAGAGACTTACATTAATTATGAATGTTCGGCTGCTAAGTATGACAAACTTGAGCTTGTCATTAACTAGCTCTTATAACTTGAGTTAACCCATCTTTCTTATCTATCTTCTGCCATGTGGTCGTACCTTTTTCGACACGGCAAGTTCACCTTGCTTCTCGCTGCATTGCCTCACATCTCCCGAGACTCCACCCTCTTCTTCCCAGAGTCCTCTTAGTCTGGTTCAACCACCTAGCCTTATCCTACCTAGCTATTGGTTCGTCAGCTTCTTTATAAACCAATCACAGTGGCATATATTCACACAGTGTAAAGGAATATTCCACACCCCGGAATCCTTCTTCACAGTTGAGTAAAAGCCCCTTTATTCTTGAGTTTTGGGGGGTTTTTTGTTGTTTTTTTTTAAAGATTCATTTTTTTATTATGAATACAGTATTTTCAGTATTCTGTCTGTGTGTGTGCCTGCAGGCCAGAGGAGAGCACCAGATCTCTTTACAGATGGTTGTGAGCCACCATGTGGTTGCTGGGAATCGAACTCAGGACCTTTGGAAGAGCAGGCAATGCTCTTAACCGCTGAGCCACTTACACTTGAGTTTTTATGTGAGTTCTTAGAATCCAAATTCAGGTCCTCTGTTCATGGCAAGTGCTTTACCAAATGAGATGCCCCTGAGCTCCTCTTTGTTTTATTGGAGATAAAAATCTTACTCAATAGCCCACACTGTCTTAAAAATCACTATGTAAGCCAGGGTTGATGGCACATGCCTGTAATTGCGGTACTCTGGAAACAGAGGCAGGCTGGTCTCTGTGAGTCTGAGGATAGCCTGGTCTACCTACATACAGAGTCCAGGCCAGCCAGAGCTACACAGTGAGACCCTGTCTCAAAGAATTTTTAAATAAAACCACTATGTAGGTCATGTTAACCATGACCTCCAAACAGCCCCCCCTCTAGTCTTCTGAATGCTGGGGTTTAGGCAAAAGTCAAGGTTTTCCCAATTCTTTTCTCCCCATAAGGGTAATCACTAAAAAGGTGGAGGTCACTCTGCTTGTTTGTTTTTGTTGTTGTTTTTCTGAGACAGGATTTCTCTGTATAACAGTCCTAGCTGTCCCGGAACTCGCTTTGTAGACCAGGCTGGTCTCAAACTCACAGAGAACCGCCTGCCTCTGCCTCCTGAGCGCTGGGATTAAAGGTGTGCGCCACCACCGCCCGGGTTAGAGGTCACTTTACATCTGAGTATTTGTAGACCTCTCAAGTGTGTGGTGTGTGTACAGTGTGAGCTATCTGAGATACACGAAAAGCGTGATGTTTAGTTCTGATGGCAGCAACACCTTCATGTTCTCATTAGTTGCTTCCCTTTTCTGGTTTTTCCATCCCCTGAGTTCCATTCAGTGGGAAAGGGGAAGTGGGTGACAGCAGCGGGTAGCGACTCTCTCTGGGTCAGTACAGGGTGAAAGTGCCTCTTCTCTGTCAAGAGGATTATTAGTTAGACTTGCTTATCTCCCCACAGCCCCTCCCGAGATCTCTGTCTCTTGTCTCTGAGAGTAGAATACAGTCAGCCTCAGTTTCCTTTTGACCCAGATTATCAGTTGACTTTAAAAGATTTTGTTGTCAGCTTCTGGAGGTCAAGTGGTCCCAGGCCTCTTTCGCATGAGCTCTGGTGTCTAACCTGACGGGGTCAGCGGTTGCACCACCACGTAAATAGCCAGAGCACGCGTGCCGGTGACGTGAGAGAGGCTTGCTGTTAGCATCTTGCTGCTCACTTTGGCATTCTGACTGTGGCTGGAACAGAACAAAAGAGCTCAAATACCTACTATGTTAAAATTCTGTTAGTAGTTGTGGCCTTTAGATTTTTCTGTTGGTGAAATAGGATAAAGTGGTCCTTAATTGGAAACTTTTTTCAAAACAACTAGGATCTTTCAAATACTTGGAAGATCCAATGAATGGACTTAGGAAAACTTAGGTTCTAGATCCTGGCTTCTTCCTTTTTTTCCCCCCGATTATTGATATTGATTTATACTGGTCTACTATGAATATGGCATTTTGTCTGTGTGTCGGTCTGCAGGCCAGAAGAGGGCGCCTGACAGACAGTGCTGAACTATGTGCATTGGCCGGGAATTGAACTCAGGACCTCTGGCAGAGCAGGCGGTGCTCTTAACCTCTGAGCCATCTCTCCAGCTGTTTAGATCCTGGCTTCTTAAACTGTGGGTCATCATTGTACAGGGATTGCAGAACTCAGTGGGGGGTTTGAAAAAAAATGACAACAGTGAAAAGTTTCTGAACACACACGAACTCAACTTCGAAAGAAACCCATGGTGGATCCGCGGTGTCTCTAGCAGCTCTCAAGCATGCTGTGCAGCACAGCATAGAACAGACCTGGTTCTAGGCATGCCCTTGTACCACATGGTACCCATGAACAGCTGCCTGAAATACCGCAGATGCCAGGTTCTTTTATGTCATAAAGTGTAGTGTTTTTATTATATATTCAAAATTCTGCTCTTAAAGAAACAAAACAGGAAATGAAGACGAGTGTTTTCCTACCATTCAGTCCTCAGAGTGTAAGTATTAAATTAGTCTATCTACCCATTTTTTTGAGACAAGATCTCCCTATCTGTCTCTGGTCTTGAACCTAAGGCCTCTGGTTTTAGCTTCTTCCTGAGTCCTGAGATGACAAGTGTGTACCAGCATGCTAAGCCTCATTATCCTACGCAGAAACTTTATTCCTGTGAAGCAGCCTCCATTTTCCTGTGCCCTGGGTTCTGGCAGCTGTCTCTTTGGTTCTGTGGGTTTACCTATTCTGTATTTTTCCTACACACAGACCCATGGTATGTGACACAATACGTGACATTTCGTGTTTGTGGTTTCTTTCAACACTGTGTTCTGAGATTTACCCACAGTTCAGCATTAACCAATCCTCTGCCCTTTCCCTGGCTGTAGCTACATCACACGTTTGTCCGTTGATTTGCCAATAGACACTGGCCTGTTTTCCCTGTGGGTCATGCCGCTGTGAACACATCGGGCAGGGTCCCTTCAGTCTGCTTTCCGTTCATTTCAGTATCTGCATAGGCATATATGTACTGGATTATACGGTAATTCAGTGTTTAAAAATGTTCAGAAACCTCCTATTTTTCTTCTTTGCTTTTCTGACCTGATATGTGCCGTTGTGGCTCTCTTAGCCAGACATTCAGAGTTCTCTGAGTGACTCCAAGCAATAACCAAGGTTTGGTGACAAAGAGCCATTGATAGGCCCAATCCCTTGACTTTCCCAGGATCCACTGTCTCTCCCAGCTGGGCGGAGCTGCCAGAAACAAACAGAAATATCTCCTTTAGGAAGAGCTAGCTGTCTCCGGGGCCAAGGAGACAAAATCCTTGCTTAGTGAGCGTTTACTCCAGTGCCAAGATGCAGAGAGCAGACAATGCAGATAAGTCAGATGCAGCCAGGGGAAGCGCTCCGGTTCATTACTGTGTTTATAACAGTCTCGGTACTTTAAAAATCTTCTGTGTGACATTGCTGTTTTTCCTTAGACACATCTCTATATTAATAATCTTTTTATATGACCAGCTTTGTAGTTTTGTTTTCTCAAATTTTCATTTCACTGATTTCTACCCTAGTATTTCCCTTTTATTTCTTATAGTTGGTTCTATTATTCTTCAGTATGTTAAGCTGAATGTTTAACTTATTTTTCCCCATCTTTCTAGTTCCCTGATGAATTATTTAGAGCTGTGGGCTTCTTTCTGTTTGAAGTACCTCTTTAGTATGTCTACCTGTTTTGACTTGCAGTGTTTTCATTATCTTTGTTTCTATTTTTTTCCAGGAATCATTTAGCAATAACTTATAGGGG